CCAGCATCAATCAACTCACAGTCCGCCAGAGCCTGAGCAAAATTCCACATCTTCCTAGAACGATCCGAAAGGCCACCCACACGCTCATCGGGATGCAGAAAGATGTTGAAATCGCCACTAACCATCCATGGCAATCCCTTCATGCTCTCAGCAATCTCACGCAGGGTATCCCAAAGATCATATCTCCCGACCCTATTACACTTGGCGTAAGCCAAAGTGTGGAATATGGGCTCGGGAAGATGGGTCGCAGAAAGCTCAATATGCAGCACCTGATCGGTATCCTGGAGGACCCGACAGGTATAATAACATGAATGGAAGAACCAGATCTTATGCGAAGTGTTACCCACGCTCGAGTGGAAGCCAAGGCGCCGTGAGTAGTTGTCAAAATTAGGGGTGCGAATCATCGACTCTATAAAGCCAACGAAGTCCAATCTATGATCACGCATAAGAGAATGAAGATACGCGAGAGTGGCCTTATTAGCCAGGCCCCGGCCATTCCAAGTAATGGATGTGATAGACATATCAACCATTGTGAGAGCCACCGAACGTGGTCCGCCTGTGGCGATGCTGGGTCGAGCCACCTGAAGAAGGGGGGAGGTGGTGGAAGGATCGAAGGGCAGGGGAGACTGTTCGTCGTGTCACGCTCGGTGTGGGTCTGGTCTTCGAGGGAGGACGCCCTCGGTAGGTGCTCATAGTGATGGAGACGAGACCGCTTTGGCGTTCTTGGCTAAGTTCGACAGGCTCAAGATTTAGTTCTATTATTATTTTGCTATCTTTATTATTTTATTTCCTTTCTTTGCTTTTGTGCTTTCCTAGTTAATGGTTTTAGTTTAGGAAATAAATAAAGGGAGGATTATCTAATGTAAGGGACAGATTTTGATGAATTAAAAAAATTGATCGTTTCTTCTTCAGAGAGAGTATCTCTAAGTTCTATCATCGTCTTGAGAGAGTATCTCAAGCACCCAACGTACACGTTCTACATCACATAGCCTGCGAGTCATCTGGCTGAGCAATCGGACCCAGAGCGGCACTAGAGACGTGCCCCATCTCCGGGGCAGTCTCCTGTCTGTCAAAGTGGACGCAAGCGCAAGAGGCAAAACTCTCGCACGAGACGTCATGCTGAGCGCGATTAAGACTGCATGTCTGCTCTGGGATGGGAGGAGAAAGGCTCCATTCGGCGGAGCGCTTGGGTGCTCGCCGACAGAGTGTGGCTGGAGACCAGCTATATGCTCAGCCGAGCTCCCAAGCTCAGCAGAGGGGAGATGTGTCGGCTCTTTCCCTTTCGGGGGAACAGTGTCGGGAGCTGTCCTTATCTCCAGGGAGCGGTCCTGGCTAGATGAATGGACAGAGAAATGAACAGCATCTCGAGTGCTGTCATCAGCTAAGTGAATGGACGTACCACTGGTCGAGGCGTCCGGATGCTCCAGATCCTCAGCAAGGAGGTCATCATCGTCTAAAAAAGGATGATCTAAGGACCTATGGGGATCACTGGTGGAGGGCTTAATCTCATCCTCTGCCTCAGGGCAGAGGACAACAAAGAAAGAGTGATTGGCCTTAAAGGCCGACTGAAGGGTGTCTCTGGGAATAAAGCCCGAGGTCTTGGCCTTGTGCCCAACAGTTGCCAACTGCTTAGGATGGTTAGGATGAGCATCCTTCTCAGTTTGGTCAGTGGCAACCATCACAGCCTTGCCCTTATCCTTGGCCCCCTTTGGGGATCCGGGCGCATGGAGAGGGCCTTTTCTCTTGCCCTTCGGGTCCCTCCGGCCATTGGAGGGTCCCAGATGAGTCGCACGATGGCGCTGAGGAGGAGTGGGTCATGGCTTATTGCCACTGATGTAGCAATCAACCTTTGCAACAACCCCAGGCCCAATTGTTCCCCAAACCATTGCAACCTTTGATGTGTTTCAGGTGGTTTGGGGAACAATTGGGCCTGGGGTTGTTGCAAAGGTTGATTGCTACATTAGTGGCAATAAGCCACGCCCCACTCTGCCTCCGCGCCATCGTGCGACTCAGCCGGGACCCTCCAATGGCCGGAGGGAACCGAAGGGAAAGGGCAAAGGCCCTCCCCATGCGCCCAGATCCCCAAAGGGGGTCAAGGATAAGGGCAAGGCTGTGATGGTCTCCACTGCCCAAACTGGAACGGATGTTCATCCTAACCAGCCTAAGCAGTTGGCTTCTATTGGGCCCAAGGCCAAGACCTCGGGCTTCATTCCCAAACACACCCTTCAGTCGGCCTTTAAGGCCAACCACTCATTCTTTGCTGTCCTCTCCCCTGAGGCAGAGGATGAGCCTGAGACCTCTACCAGTGACCCCCATAGGTCCTTAGATCTTCTTTTTTAGACGATGATGACCTCCTAGCTGAGGATCTGGAGCAGCCGGACGCCTCGACTAGTGGTACGTCCATCCACTTAGCTGTTGACATCACTCGAGGTGCTGTTCCTTTGTCTGTCCATTCATCTAGCCAGGACCGCTCCCTGGAGATGAGGACAGCTCCCGCCACTGCTCCCCCGAAAGGGGAAGAGCCGACACATCTTCCCTCTGCTAAGCTTGGGAGCTCGGCTGAGCATATAGCTACTCTCTAGCCTCACTCTCTTAGTGAGCACCCGAGTGCTCCGCCAAATGGAGCCTCTCTCCCTCCCATCCCGGAGCAGGCATGCGGTCTTAACCGCGCTCAGCATGACGTCTTGTGCGAGTGTTTTGCCTCTAGCGCATTCGTCCACTTTGACAGACAGGAGACGGCCCCAGAGATGGGGCAGGTCCCTAGTGCTGCTTTGGGTCTGATTGCTCAGCCTGATGACTCGCAGGCTACGAGCACCTACCGAGGGCGTCCCCCCTCGAAGACCAGACCCACACCGCGCGTGACACGACGGACAGTCTCCCCTGCCATTTGATCCTTTCGCCACCTCCCCCCTCCTTCAGGTGACTTGACCCAGCATCGCCACAGTCGGACCACGTCTGGTGGCTCTCACGCTTGTTGATATGTCTATTACATCTATTACCTGGAATTTCTGGGGCCTGGCTAATAGGGCCACTCTCGCTCATCTCCACTCTCTCATACGTGATCATAGATTGGACTTCGTTGGCTTTTTAGAACCGATGATTCGCACCCCTGATTTTGACTAGTACTCACGTCGCCTTGGCTTCCACTCGGGCGTGGGTAACACTTCGCATAAGATCTGGTTCTTCCACTCGCGTGACTACACTTGCCGGGTCCTCCGGGATACCGACCAGGTGCTTCATGTCGAGCTTTCTGCGTCCCATCTCCCCGAGCCCATATTCCATACCTTGGTTTATGCCAAGTGTAATAGGGTCGTGAGATATGATCTCTGGGACACCCTGCGTGAGATTGCTGAGAGCATGGAGGGATTGCAATGGATGGTTAGTGGCGATTTCAACATCTTTCTGCATCCCGATGAGCGTGTGGGTGGCCTTTTAGATCGTTCTAGAGAGATGTGGGACTTTGCTCAGGCTGTGGCGGACTGTGAGTTGATTGACGCTGGATGTGAGGGTGAGCCCTTTACGTGGGTTAGGGACGATCTCAAAGAGAGGCTCGACCGTGCTTTGGTTTCTGAGGCGTGGTCGAAGGTGTTTGCGGTCACGACCGTCTCACACCTCACTCGATTTGGGTATGATCACTCACCCCTCCTCATTGAGTGTCGATTTTCGAGCACCCCTCGTCGTTCATCATTTAGGTTCCAGAACATGTGGGTTCGCCACCACTCCTTCCATGACACTGTCAGGGACTCCTGGCTTCAGCCGACTGGGCTCTTCGGGATGCGCAATCTCAAGGCGAAGTTCGACAGACTGCGGCGTAGGTTGAGACAGTGGAACTGGGATGTTTTTGGAAACCTCCATCAGCGCCTTTCTGCGGCTCAGAGTGCGCATGCGGAGGCTGAGCGGGCCTATGACCTGGACCCCACTCCGGAGAATAGGACTGCGATGCGTCGCTGCCATGCTGAGTACCAGCTCCGACTCCTTATGGAGGAGGATTTCTAGAAGCAGAAGGCGATCGTTCGCTGAGTGGCTGAGGGCGAGCGGAATACTAGGTTCTTCCAAGGTTTCGTTAGGCAGAAGCATGCTAAGTCGCACATCCACAGTATTGAGGTTGATGGGTCATTCCTGACCCAAAAGTCTCAGATTCGGGAGTCGGCTACTGTCCACTTCCAGACCCTTTTCACCTCCGACAGAGGGGCTCTTGATGCCCCAATCGCTTCTTTCTTTCCCACCATTCCTCCTTCGGTCGACCTCGTCGGCCTCTTTGAGCTCCCGAGTAGGGAGGAGGTTAGGGATGCTGTATTCGGGATTGATCCCAACAGCGTTTCTGGACCCGATGGGTTCTCTTCTTTCTTCTATCAGGTCTGTTGGGATATTGTCGAGCCTGATGTTGAGGAGGCTATGTTGGATTTCTTCTCCGGTCACCGGATGCCGGATTCCTTCACATCTACCTCTGTCGTGTTGATTCCCAAGAGACCCAATCCGAGTTCTTGGTACGACTACAGGCCCATCAGCCTGTGTAACGTGACCAATAATCTCATTTCGAAGATTCTTAGCGGTCGCCTTTCCCCTCTTCTCTCCTCCCTCATCTCTCCGAACCAGAGTGGTTTCGTCAAGGATCGGGTCATTAGTGACAACATACTTTTAGCCCAGGAGATGATCCACGATATCTCCCATGTTGATTGGAAGCGGGCACCGAACGTTGCGCTCAAGCTAGACATGGCTAAGGCGTACGATAGGGTGGAGTGGCCGTTTCTTAGGGAGGCACTGGCTAGGATGGGATTTCCTGAGCGGTGGATCAGTTTTGTTGAGGCGTGTGTGGAGCACTGCACGTTCTCTGTCCTGGTTAATGGTAGCCCCACCGACTTCTTTCTCTCCTCTAGGGGCCTTAGACAGGGTGACCCCCCTTTCCCCATCCCTATTTGTCCTTGCGGCGGACTACCTCTCTCGCTGCCTTGACGGCTTCATCCGCGACTATCCACGGATGACTTACAGCACTTGTGGCTATGGTCCTCCCATCTCGCACCTTTCTTATGCGGATGACATCATCATCTTCACCCGAGCGGATGTTGATGGGCTGATCGAGCTTATGCACCTTCTAGAGCACTATAGCTCGGTTACCGGCCAGCTGATCAGTGTGCAGAAGAGCACCTTCACCCTCTCCTCCTCTAGCGCGGATAGTTGGGCTCAACGGATCCATGAGATCACTGGCTTTGCGCGCGGCGACCTTCCCATTACTTACCTCGGTGCCCCTTTATATAAGGGTCACCTCTCGAGAGCGCTCTTTGTGGACATTAGATAGAGGATGATCGATAGGATCTTTGGTTGGTCGTATAGACACCTTTCCTTCGGTGGTCGGCTTGCGCTGATCAAGAGCACCCTTAGCTCTTTTCCGCTTCACTTATTTATGGTTCTCGATGCCCCTAGGTCTACTCTTGACGAGATTGACCAGATTATGGCTCGTTATTTCTGGGGTTACGAGGATGGTTCCAGGAGGGGGAGACGTACCCACTGGGTGAGTTGGGATTCTATTTGCCGGCCTTTCTCTGAGGGAGGCCTTGGCATCCACCGTCTTAGGGATATAGTTACTGCCTTCTCCTACAAGTTGTGGTGGCGCTTCAGGGAAAGAAAGTCGCTTTGGGCCCAGTACCTTCGCGGCAAGTACTGTTCTAGACGTGTCAACCACCTTTGTTGGGTGACGACGGTTAGTCATGATAGCAGACAGTGGCGGCGCCCCACTAGGGTCGGTAGGCGTTCCTAGGATCACATCTTTTGGGTTTGGGTGAGGGTGAGGTTAGTTTTTGGGATGAGTGGTGGTTAGGTGATAGGCCGTTGTCTAGCGATAGGCAGGTGTTGCATTCCCCCTACCTGCTTGTGAGCGACCTATGGACGGACAGGTCGTGGGATAGGGGGAAGCTTGATAGAGAGCTGGGCTCCGGGGCGGGTTTTAGCG